TTCAAAACTGTGAGAAATAAATTTCTGTTGTTTATAAGCCACCTAGTCTATGGTATCCTGTTATAGCATCTGGACTGAACTTAAGAAGTCTCTAATTGACTGTCTGAGGACTATCAGTCGGCCTCCCTGATAATAGGTTGAATGCCTCGACCTTTTGTACTCAGAACAAGAAGAGATCATTTCTCTCAAAGTGCTGTAAAGGTGAACAGTGTCATATAGGGCATATACTATACTATCAAGATGTATTTCATAAATTGTACCTGCAATACAGAATTCAGGAGCCAACTGCTGAATATAACATAGCAAGATTTAGTTAATTTTTTTTTTTAAATGGAAGTACTGGACACTGGACCCAGGTCCTCATGCATGCCAAGCATGTGCTCCACCACTAGAGTTATACCTTCCTCTCAATTAAATGTTAATTAACATTTTTGCACTTCTCTTTAAAAACGATTCTTTACCATATAGCTGTGCCCAGACTATACTTAAGCAGAAGGCTGATAACCTAAGATTTTCTGATTGATTTAGAAAGAAGCATCATTTTTTGAGTTCAGAGTATATGCCATATGAGTTTATTTAATCTTTAACTGCCTCAGGAAGAAGGTATTTTCCTGTCCATTTGATAGACCTAAGTTTTAAAGCTCAGTCAACTTAATAACTTGCCCACAGTTATGCAACACAAAAGCAGTGTAGTGGGATTTGAATCCAGGTGTGAAAGCTTTAAATCACCAACCTCTCTCTCTAACACCATTTAGTTTCCCAAAAGATAAAAAGGTAACTTTTAAAAGATACAGAACTTTAAATTTTGATATAGAGCACATTTATATATAGATTAGATTAAGATCTAATACAGAACGCTAGATTTAGAATAAACGTCAGGTATAGAGGACACAATATGTAGCCCAAATCAGAAAATTGTCATTACATACATATTTTGTAAGTGCCCTCTGCAAGGCTGGTAAATGCTAGTTACTTGATTTTACAACTGCAACCAAGACATAATTTATTTATAATATTCCTGGCAGTGGTCTTCTAGACTTCAGTATTCCCAGCACCTGCCAGGTCC